AATACAATCATTCACATATTTGACAAAACATTTTTTATTGCTTCCTTAATTTAGAATTAATATAAATAACAAAAAAATCACCTCTTTTGTTTCGCGAACATCGAATTTAGTGGTAAATAGTGAACTAAGATTAAACATTATTCCTTGGGGAACGATAACTCATAACTCACTTTATTATTACTTATCAACGATCTAGTACGCTTGCGAGTTTCAACCAAACAAGGCTTATACACATAATTCTCAAATGGAGACCTCATTTCATCCTCTTTCCTACTGAGTCCTCTCCCTATCATTTCTGCTCAATTCTCGTACCGAAATTCATAGTAACTAAGGATAGGAGAGAAATATCATATAAGCATGGCATTTTAACAACATTCAAACAACAGATTTCACTGAGAGCAAAGTTAAAACCATTTTGGAATAAGCAGAAAATTCTATCTTAATCATTTACAAGATAAAGTAAGCATCAAGCAATCTAAAATCCTATCATCCATCAAATGGAAGATTGAATAAAAATCAAAATAGGGCTGGCATAAGCTCTAGCCATCGAAGTTTAATTTAAAACACAACGAAATCTTAAGCTGGTCTATGCTCATCATAATTGCACCACAGGTCCCCTACTTTCTACCAAAATGATTATTAAGCCCTATCTAATAAACAATAAAGCCAAGTTAAATCAAGTAAAATAAGGAAAAATCTTTTACATTATTCTGACTGCACCAATAACAAGAGTAAAGTACAACATACGCTAGAAGAGGAGAACAAGAGTATACAGATGTCCTATTATCTAACACGGTGGTGGTAGGTAGGACCTCCCATTCTTCGGCACAAACTTGCGCATCCACATATGCTTCCCGTTGACGGAAAACTTTACCTTGGTTTGACCATTGAGAATTGCACCAACGAAGCTTGGACGATGTAGCACAACTATAGCATAAAGCGCTTGTTCATTAGGCATCACCCGTTGCATGTAGATAGACTCTATGCAGTTCCCATAGATCCTAGTTAAGAACTGCCTCACTTCACTTTCAGATACAGGACAACCCCTCGAAAATGTAGCAAACATTCTCCTGTCCTCTCGTGCTATCTCATTTACTTGAGTCCTGCCTTGGGAGACAGCTCCTCCGATTCTCAATTGAGACAAGCTCAGCGTCAACGACTCATTTAAAGAAGATGATGCCATCATCTGGTTCATGGACAAAGTTTGAAAAGCTTTGCCTGACATCATCATCATAAGGTTGTGAAACAAACTTTCTGCATCATCTTCATTAATTGCCTTCGCCATTATGTCAGCCAGCACAGGAGTGTACACTTCAGTGGCTAATCTTCCAATTTCAGACAATGCAATAAGCCGAATGTCATGAAAAAACTTCAGTGATATTTCCTTGGTCATAAGGTTCCGAGTCAGTGGAATCTCACTATCTTCATCTGAGAATGGGAGTCGTGCACCATTCACGCACTTGAGACATATAGAAGCCTCATCAGCAAGTTCGTTCATTTTATATAGAGGCAGGGAATATATCTTGCTTATCAAATTGCCGAAGCCCACATGTTCTAACCAAAGCCATAAGCTCATAATCTGCAGGCATTCCCAAGGGTTGCGCCAAAAATTACTTACAAGAATAGAGTAAATTGCTCTGTCATCTTCATGGATTATCTTCAAATCCTCCAACCTAATGCAAGGTCGTGTAATGTCCATGGAAGTATCCAGTTCCAAGGGATGTCAAAATCTGATAGCACAAATTTCAGACATTAAAATTACCAGAAGAAACACAAGAAAGGAGTACTGAAAAATTAACACGAGGAAACTAAAGAAGTGTTTATGGAATAGCCACAGAAAAGCATGCAATATCATCTAGAGTTCTAATAGAAAAATAAGACGGCAGTAACAATGCTTCCAATTGTGGAAATAATCTTGCAATTTTAGAACACAACTGGCTTGGGCCCATAAAGAAATGCTCAAAGGGGAAACCTTACCAGGTAAGTGACCTGGATTCGAGTCACATTTGGGGGAAGGGTTCAAAATTCAAAAAAATAAAAATAAAAAGAAGAGAAAAATCTGAAGGTGACTTCTCAGAGAAAATCTATTCTTAAGGGGTTTCTTCCTGCATCGTATTGCCACCCCTAATTTATGTTCAGTTCATCAATGCTGTACAACCTACAGTACGATAAATTAAATAAGTCATTCCTATCCACGTCAAAGTATTCAATTCGTTCTTATCAGCATCTCACAAAAAACAAGAAAACTAACGATGATTTAGCTGCATCTGGGGGAAAATGGGCCTTTAGTTGGTAATTAATGCTTTAAATGGGATTACGGCAAATAACTCAATAATTCACCTAAATGGAAAATATTTTTATGGATTGCGTGAATTTCATGAATAGTAGTAACGCTTGCCAACTTTCCTTCAGTTGCGTATCCCCACTATGAATCAGCAAAAAAGAACTGGTTTCACACCATAATCTTTCAAATGTTTCTTGCAAACTCCGGGTGAATCCTGCCCCACTCCCTTAAAAGCATGTAGAGTGGTTTTCATTTGCACCATGAAAGAAGATATCAAAAACTCAAATTTCTTTTGATTTTTCTCTCTTTCTTGGGGGAAAATCTATTTGTTAGGGCAAGCAGTAAATTTGACAATACAAAGATACAAGAACTATAAAAAATTGAAATAAAACAATATCAAATCTAGCATCTTCTCAGTAAACTCTGTAGTTTATTAACCATTATACCTACATTATTAACAGTGTATTATGATGCATCCTATCATGTCTACACTATCTATGATGTGACTAACATTTGCCAAAGTCTAAAATTTTCACTTGCCTGGTAACCTGATGATGTAGGATGCAACGAACAATAAGAATATTGTGAAAAGGAGGAGAAAGAGAAGAGGGAGAGAAACGAGAATCTAGAGGGAAAAAATAAAGTGTTTTTATTATCAAAGTGTGAATTACAATGAATAGACCCTCTTTATATAGAGTCTAATTAAACCTAATTTTGCTAAGGAAACAAGTAAATGAACTCTAATTCAGTCAAAATTATAGTCAAACTAGAATATTGATATAAATTAACTATCTTTCTCCCCAACTGAGAGAACTCGATTCTAGCAAGATAGACTACAACTTCGTTCTCCAAGGAGACCAACTGACCAAGTACAGGCACTGAACTCTTGACAGCAACATCTGGATGAACTCATACCAAGGGGGATCCTTGTTATGAACCAAATACCGATAGCAAACTCTGGAATGTAGCATACTGAGCAACCCATCCGTTGAAAACATCAATAGACAACACATAATAAGGAGACAAGGTACTAGCACAATAGACTCACATGCAGAATCAAATTATTGCAACAATGGTGGCTTAAATCTGCCCTGATAAGGAAATAATTCAACAATATTGAAAATATAATTTTTATTCAAGTGTGATGACCAGTCACATAGTGCCAATGATCCAAAAACTTTCTTAATGTGTATAGAAAACAAGGCCAAAGAAACACATAATAAAGCATAAAGTTCACTGTTAAAGAATCTGGTCCTAGATAGCGCATCAAAAGAAAGCTCATAAGTTTTATGATTACAAGTAATTTGTCTTCTAAACTTAGCATGAAATTTTTTTTTTTTGATAACCGTGGATGTCCGGGCCAGCTTGCGTACACCTCGATTATTTTCATGGGGCCCTGAAGTTTACAGTCGGGTACTCACCTCAGTGGCCCTGAGGGGATTCGAACCGGTAACCATTGGGGAGCAAACCCAAGACCTTAGCATGAAAATTAGGAACATTGACAACAAAGTAAAAAGCTAAAAAAATATGACGATTATTATTAGGCAACAACAGAATATCAATAGCAAAAGCATGCAAGCAGACAATTGCCTCGGACTAAAACATGGCAAACCAGGAGTATCAATCAGATGAGGAAATGTAATTACAAAGTTAACCTTAAAGGATCACAAAGGAGTAGGCAAACCATTTAGCAGAGGTGGAAACACCATAGGCAATTTCCCAACTATATCATTGTTATTCTTATGGACTACAAGTGTGGTCATGAAAGGGGACATAATACAATGTTCAAAACTCTCATCTTTGTTATTAGAATATGCAATAGGCTCAACAATAAAGACCTTATTTTCTTCTTCATGATGAGGACTAACACAACCCAACTTAGAAAGTGATTATCGGGACTAGGGTTGTAGGCCTAGCAGATGAATTGCTTGGCGAAGATGAAAGGATATGTCTCATAGATTGGCGTGCCGGTAAGCTTCATATAAGGATTGAATGTTGTCAGCCTAATTTCAGAATTTAAATCATTGAGAAACCTAGACATTGTAATGTGGAAAGCATCATAAATATCATAAATGTGCAATTGCTCTTCAAACTGTGCTAAATAACCTTGAGTATAGTGCCTAGACAAAGCACGTTATTTGAAATAATTGCAAATTATCACTTAGTACATCCTCAATAAAGGAACAAAATTCAAAAATTAAATTTTTATTTTTTATTGCTATTTTATTAAATGATAACAAAGCAACTAGAAAGTAAAAGCATATGTTTTGTTCTTTTGGTTTTCTCTCATTTAATTTTGAAATTAAAACTAAAAAGCCGGAAATTAAGAATGGACAAATTAAGAAACTTGGAGACTAACCATTCTTTTTCTATAAATGCTGAAAATGCATTACCAAATTTACTTCCAATATTTTCCAGAGAACAATACAACAAACGAATCATAACAACACGTGCAGTATAGACTGCGCATGAGCAAGAGATTAGCAGGCATTAATAATAAGGAAGACACTATGATCTAACTTAGATGGACGCAATTTACAAAGCCAACCATCATCATTAGCTTGATTATTTTCAGAAGCTAGGTTGTGTTCCATACCTTTTATAGTTACAAGAGTATGATCCATCTTTTGTTAATCACTTCAATCCAACGTGTCCTTTCCCAATGGTAGCAGCTGAAGTTTCCAGCACTCACTGGCATTTGAAATGTAGGTCAGTTCAGTACCAATTAATACATATCTTAACCAAAACAGATAAACTACCCAAATATTAATTGGGACTTGAAAATTGGGCTTAAAAATCCCAAAATATCTTACAGAAGTCTGGGAAAACAAAAGAAAATGGAATGAAAAGAAAAAATAAAATAATCAAGAAAACTGCATAGGATAATAGCAAGAATAAATAATATTAGATGCATAATGCTCTACACCAGGTGACCTCAATAAGCAAGCAAGCATCCACAAGATTTCTCCCAGCAATAACATGTTTCATCACCTTGGAGGTCGTAAGGGAACCAAAATTAAGTTCTACAAAAAGCACAGCTCAAAATCTGTCAAAGATTATAAACTTTTCTCTGTAGACGGAAATTTTGACTTCATTAAGAACTTTCAAAAGTGTGAGCAGAATAGGAAAGATCTTCAAATGTCTCCACCTCCATGAACTTTATCTAAATCTATTTGCAGGATGGCATAGCAAAAGAAGGAAATATTTACATAATCTGCTTCACTTGTTTCTGTTATTAATCTATAAGCCAGTGATCGTTTTGCTGCCACACCTTGTAGATCAGACGGAAAGATATCAAGAAGAAAACTTCTCAACAGGATAAGATGATAATAGTTCCTCATTTGTGTGCAACAGAGAAGGAAGGAAGCAACCAGGTGATGTTGAGTTGGTTAGAAGTTTCCCTGTCGTTGCTGACACAGCAGCTCAGAGACACCACAAGAGCCAGTGAACTTTTACAATTGGTAGGTGTTTTGATATTCTCCAACTGCTGCTTCTTGAAATGATACAATTATTCTCGTCCCATTATTATAGGGAAGCGAGGTCTTGCATTTCATGGTGGAAGCATTTTTCTGGCTTAGCAATGTGTTTAATGGAGGAGCAGAATGCAGCATCTGATAGGCTGGTAAAAGATTTGGGTTTACCATAGAACTCTGATATACCCCTTACCTGAAACAAGGCAAAACACAAGACGTCAGAAATTACAAAGCATATCTAACAGGTGAAAGTTCTGTTTCACATTGATCACAATAATTAAAACTTTCCGCAGCTTTTTTCCAGATGATGTTTGGACATTAAACAAAGGCTCGGAGACAAATCTCAATATGTAGCAGAAGATAGAATTACCTCTAAACCCCAGTCAAGAATGAAAAAAGAAATTGTGCCGAAAAGAGTGTTCTAAAATTTCTTCTGTGGGATCAGTAGATGAATTATGGGGCATGATAAAATATCGCATATGCATGTAGGCTAGCAGAATATCAAACAGAATAATAGCATTTTACCATGTCCAAAATTTACAAGGAATTTATGACAAGGATAATGAACTTGTTCCAGCCTAAAAACATATTTTCCTAAAGAAAAAGACAAAAATGGAACAGAAGATCTGGTTGCCAAAGCATAGATTTACACAGAAAAGCATGCACAGAGGATTGTTAGGTAGATGAACTAGCAAGTCTAATTAGATATTCATATCCTGTTTTCATAATTTTTTAAGGATTAGCAAATTTCAAATAGTATTTAAATAAGATGAGTTTAAGAGTCCGTTCGGTGCACATTAAAATGAGAGAATGTATTTTTTTGAAGTGACGTGATGGGAAATATGTGGTTGAAAATGAAGAAAAAGTTATTGATGTGATGGAAAATATTATTTTATTGAAAAATGTGTGGTTGAAAATGAGTAGAAGAATGAGAATGAAAAATATAATGTGGTCAAACAGGGGCTAAATGTTCAAAAAAAATGCTCTCTCCATAGTT